AACATTCCATGGAACGCGAAAAGAGTTATACATGAAATCAAGAACAAGGCATAACATCTATGCAAGTAAACAAGATTAAAGCATTTCACATACACAACAAGTTTAAATCTTCAAGGAATAGCAACTTGAAATTTAAAGAGTGAAATCAACCAATATGGAAAACTCGGATATCGCCCAGATTAAAGTCGTACTTTTGAGATCACTTTAGGGCTACTGACCCATGGGTGCCTTTCCCCTAGTGCGCACTATAGTTGTAGAGGGATAATCCCCCGTACTAGAACCAAATCCTAGCTATGTCAATTCTTGATTGATATCCCAAGTCCCAAAATCAACAAGTTGTACAACTAAGATCGTATCAAAATACAACAAATGCATTAACCACGTTTCATGCACAACCAAGATTTTGGAACACACAAGTCATGCCCTAAGTTCTTAACTATGATGGCATGTGAAATGTCAAGAAATCATAGTGTACATCTATATAGACTAGAACCAAGATATATATATAGCACATGAAATCTATTGAAGTAAATATACCATAAGTATAAGATACATGATTCAATTACTCACTAAATAACACATGTGTAATTAAACCATTTCAAGACAAATGTGCATGTTCATTAAGTACATTAATGAAACCTAGATATAAGGAGTCACGATGCTTAATAAAAAGATGAAAGTACATGAAATACAAGTCCAATTCATAAGTTAACACGAGTTCAATATCAAAACATGATTTACGCGATGGGAGCATATAAGGAAATTTAATCTACTTAAGGGATTAAATTGTCAAGATTACAAGACAAGTCAAGGATCATATCAAGGACAAGTTCAATATCAAGTTACATGTTCATTTCATGCAAGACACGACCATGTGAATCAAGTTCCATACAAAGCAAATAATTAAAATATAAGTTTCAAAATTTATCCGATTATTCTCAAATTTATACATGTGAGGGAACTTGTCAAGGAAAGAATGAATGCTAAGTTAGAAACTTAATTAAGACAAAGCAGTCATTGAATGGATTTTAATTAATCCTTTTAATTAAAATCTCTAGGTTTTGAAATTCATCCAAATGATTTCAATTTAATATATGTTATACAACATGTTAAGACTTGATTTAAAAACATGATACAAGTGAATTCTAAGCAAGACACGGCCATGAGTATTAAACTTTAATACTAGAAAAATAATAAATGAAAGGCTTCAAAACCTAATCAAATATTCCCGATTTAATATATGTGAAAGAATATGTCATACATATCAAGAATATTAAATCGGAATTCAAATGAAGTGAATAGTATACATGGAATAAATAAATTAATCAATTAATTAAATATTCTCTAGATTTTAAAACACATCCGATTAGTTTCAAATTCACTTATACTGAAGAACATGCTAGGGCCTAATATAATATGCTAACACACATTGATTTCAAACTAGTTAAGATCACATGAATTAAATATTTACTCAAGATAAATATTAAATAAAAACTTCATTACTTGTCCAAATACTCTAAATTTAATATATGTCAATGACCATATAATGGAGTAATTTATTTCTATTATATATACGCATCTGGCCAAAAAGAACCCGCACTCTCTTTTCATTTCAATCTCGCTTATTCCTGTCTCTCTGAGTTCGCTCACATAAAGCCCTAGTCTGAATCAGATTTAGATTCTCTTCTCTCTCATATCCAATCACTTCTTTCTCTCACTTGACCCATCCCCATCCCCATCTCCATCTCTGTCTGGTCGCTTCCAAGCCCTAAATTATTTTTGAAGCCCTAATCTGAACAATTTTTTTCGCAAAAAAGTTGAACCCAGTTTATTTTTCAATCTGATTGATTCTCGCTCTCAAAATCCATAAGTTAATTGAAGCCCTAGAGTGGAATTATGTTGGAAGCCATTGAGGATGCAAGAAACCGACCAATAAAGTTTCATTGAGCTCTATTCAAGCTTGATTGAGGGCAACAAATTAATCAGGGATTTTATGTTTAATCAATTTTATTTTTTCTTTATATTGGGTTAATTTTTCGATGTATTCTTTTAAATAAGCATAGATTGAGAATACATTTTTGAGAATCAATATATTAGAAACGTGTAAACATAATTTATATGTATTATCCTCATCTTATGGCTGGTCTTATACCAATCCCTAATAAGGAAAGTAAAATTTGTCCTAGGTAAAGTACATGGAACTGGGATTTGAGGTATTGCATAGACATTTATTCCCCCAAACCTTCCAGCAACTTTGTGCATCAGAATCGATGGGAAGTATGTGTAGCTTCCAATCTGGTCTTTGGTCTGGAACTTGTATGTGAAATTTGTGTTTGGAGGGGTAGGGCAATTAGTCCCCAACACTCCATCTTGCCATGAATTCTTCCTTTGCTTAATTCCATTCCTATTTGAGATAGATTTACCTTCTTATTAAACCATGTCCTCATTGTAAATGCCATAACGAAATAAAATAATAATAATAATAAATTTGCAAAATCAAAGAGATTAGTACTGTCCCAGGCCACTGCATTTTTAAATATAGGATATTGAACAATTATTATAGAATTATCACCATTGTATAAAGTACAGAGTCAGCAAAAACCACTCATGAACACTAGTAAAATGCACGGGATATAAAACTTGCTCAACATTTCTGAGCATTAAGATGTGAACTGTAGAACTTGAGTTGTTTAAAGTTTGATGTTAACATCCTTACAGTTATAAGTTCAAATAAAACAATTATATCATATGACCACCATTTATAGAAACTTAAGCCCAATAACAATGTTACAAGTTTGTAGGTATGCATGGTGCTTAAGAAATTATTTAGATGGAAATTTGTGTATTTATTTGATTTTTCATTAAGTTTTATTATTGTTTATTATCTTTATTGTGCAATGGAAATTTGGTCTCAAAGGAGGAATATTAGGCTTAATTGGTCTATGATCGAGGTAGTTGTGGTCCAAGAGAAATGTAAGACAAGATCGTGCCGCCTTCGCTTCTACTTGTGGATGTAAAATGTTCAGTAGTAGCATTATTGGAAAGAGAGAGAGAGAGAGAGAGAACAGCAACTACCGCAAGACTGATAAACTGTCTGTTCAGTTAGGCCAAATCACTCAGAGCTCTCTTAGTTTACAAATCATTCTACTTCAAGTAACCCACTAAAATTTCTCAGATCTTTCAATCCTCTCATTTTCTGATAATTCCACTTCTGTCAAATAATTCAATGCCCTCTAAATGTTCATTATCCTTTCAATTTTTTAGTACAAAAGAATCAAACTGAAGATGAAAAATGAAAATAGTGATTATTTGTTTTTGTTCTTTCCTTTTCTGTTTAAAACTCCAAAACAAAGGGAGGATTATGGCCTTTTCTTCCTTTCTTTTGATGGGATAACCCTACCCCTTCCCTTTGTTTTTCAAATAAATCCATAGATTTTTATAATGAATTCTAATGAATTAAAGAAGATTTTAGACATATAAATCTAGAGCAGTACCTAATTTCTATCTCCGGTGCAGTAGATAGCAACTTCTTCAGCCCCATTTCAAGTTTTTCAGCAGATGTCCCATTTATTGCAAAGGTTGATTTTAGGCTTCATAGTATAAGAAGAGTTAATGAAGTTTATAATTCTCCTTATATAGAGGGGTTCTCCTATCTTCTACAATAATAAAGGCAAGAGTCTCTTGTAAGTACAAACAAAAGACAACACAAAGAAAACCTTGACAAGAAAATATGTAAGAAAGCTGAAAATTAAAGGATAATTTAACCTCTCCTCCATAATAAAATTATGTTTAGTCCCAAGTCCCAACAAATTTACTACAAGCAAACTCCAAAATGGTATTAGAGGATTGACAACTAACATTAGCAATTCTACTACAGATTCTCGTGAGAAATTTATTTCAATCTCTAATAATAATTAATTAAGTAAAATTTTCAAAAACGACATAATGAACTCATTTTGAAGAAGATTCAAGTAAAATTTTCAAAAAGTCAAACCCAATAAAACAAGAAGTGGTAAGCAGATTTCCAACCCCCTTTCCACCTCCCCACCACCAGTTCTGAATTTCCATCTCTGGTGCAGCAGATAGAAACTTATTCAGCCCCATTCGACCAGTTCTGTATTTTTTTCCTTTTCGATTAAGACACTGTTGGTATTTTCTTTCCCCTTTCGATTAAGAAACTAACTTAAAAAACAAACGTATAACAAGATCTTAAAAGCTAATAGCCTAAGATTAATGATTCTAGTACGAATAAACAATTTTTTCATTACCTGAGACCCCATGAAAACATTCAGAAGGGAACAACAAACGTTAGTCATAGTGCCATTCAATAAGTTGAACACAAAATATTAGGAAAGCAAAGACGGCTCCAGACTTGGTTTGAAATAAAATAAACGTAAATTCTCTCAGCAGATTGGTGTGTCACCTCATATTTAATATAACTGCAAGATAAAATAAAGACCATTCAATGTAAACAGTGCTCACCTGCAATTATCAAGACTCGTCTTCTTTTTTGCAAGCTTATCCTTCAACCTCCCAGGGGTAGCAACAACGAAATGCACACACTTCTTCACGACCTCCAACTGCGATCTCATATCAACCCCCCAATGCAAAGCAATGTTCTCAATTTTGGATAGCCACGCTCCCTCAAGGGAACTAGAAACTGCTCCACAACTTCGCAGTTCTGCATAGCAAGCCCTCTTGATGGGCAAATTATCAACCCAAATGGCCCTTCCCTAGGAACAATAGGCATCATCAATTAATATTGCAGTGCCACCATAATTAGTGGCAAGACAAAAACCAATGTCTTGCCAGAACCTGTGAATGCAATCCCTATCATATCCCTTCCAGATAAAATAACAGGAAGTCCCTGCACTTGAATGGGTGTCAGTTGTACTGTTCCTTAGTTTTCAACATCCTCAAAATTGGCTTTAGAAATCGCATATCCTTGAAATTCTTGTTTTTGATCATCTTTATAATTAAGTATGATTAGAAAAAAAAAAAAAAAAAGAACCACTTTGTAAGTAAGTTACATACAAAACCTTTGAAATATCAACTAAATTCAAAATGATTGTGATATTAAGAAATTAAGAAGCAAAATAATTACATTATGTTGACTTAGACTGTGATTCCACAAGAGATCCACAAACACATTCTCAAAACCGTAACAAACGTCCAGACCTAAGGTCAATTTATTACATTATGAGCAGGCCCTTTACAATTTTGAAACCCTACAACATGTATTTGCATAAAAAACTACCGAAAGATCAAAGAATCAAAAGGAAATAACAGATGGGGAGATAAAAGAGGTTAAAGCTAGGATGAGACTGAAGAGGGTTCTCTTAAGATCAAAGAAAAGCCTGGATATAAGTACTTCGAAAAAACTCTTGTTTCTTAGTGCTAGTTTTGAAAATTAGTCTCTTCCTCTGCAAACTCTGAACAAAAAGGCAAACAAAATTGTCATTAAAGATGCATAACAATACCAGAGAATGCATACCTTAAGCTAAAAAAACCAAACTAATGAACAACAAAAAATCATGTAAACAAGAATAAAATGTTGAATAAATTCACGTTTATATAACATTACTCTATTTTTTATTATGAAAGAATAAAATGTATTAAATTGAATAACTTAAAAATATATATATTTACATTGTTTTTCAACCAAAATTTACAAAAATGACTTTGTGAAAAGCTATTAATTATAATGTTATCATGTAGTTAGTTGGACAGAAAAATATGTGCAATATCAAGCAAGGCACAAATTTACAAAAATGACTTTGTGAAAAGCTATTAATTATAATGTTTTATCAATTTTTTATTATTAAAACGACGAAGTTGTAGTATCCCTTCATTATTTTACAAAATTAAAAATTTATTTATTGTATTTTTGTCCTTACAGTAGCGCCACACAAGGCACAAGCCAAAAAAATTCAAGCGCTAAAGTTTGGCGCACAATTTTTTTTGGGTATTGGGGATGGTACTACTTGTACCGTGCCAAAAAATAACGTTTTTAAGGACAATTTTTAGACCGTCCCTAAAGGACTGTCACTAATAACCAGATTTGTTGTAGTGTTCATACATATATCCATTTAAAAAGAAATAGTTTTCTAGCAATTGAAACTCATCTCTATATTTTATATTCTTTTACTGTTATTGATATCTTGAAGAGGCCATTTTAGTAACTAATATTTATATGGTTTAGATAAGTCACAAGATAAGATTAGCATTTAGAAACTATTTCCCTGGTTTTGGGCTCAATCATTCAATGTGCTATGCTTTCTTCCCCTTAGTTGTTTGTGACATTGTTTATATATATTTGCACATCTTTTTGCTTTGATTTGCAGTGTACGCGCAGTGGAGACAACAAACAAGAAGTGGGATGAATCAATATTTTCTCAAGGTTAGTATTGTAGATAGATGCCTTTGTAGTCATTTTCTACCCCTTTTCCTTTGCATGTTCCTCTTGTTATTGCAAGCATAGGCATCATATTATCTATACTATTTTTAATATCTTTTGTACAGTTTGAAGAGATGTGTATATGTAGTAGTTTTTTAGGGAGCTTTTATGGACCAGTGGTTTGAATCAAAAAAGCATAAAGCATATTTTTTTTATGATTTTGTGTAACTAGGTGGAAGTTTCAAATCATGAGCCATAAGGTTTTTGGCTTTTGAGTCTTTATTTTTGAAATGTATAATTGTTAAAAATTTTAAGGATAATATAAGAAAACATATTTTAGGTTCCATTGCTCAACTAAAATTTGATCTTGGTCATGGGTATAAGAAATATTTTGATAATTGAATTAAATGTAATGGATGAAATTGAAAGATAAATTTTAAATGGGTTTTGGTAAAAGTTCAAGTTTTTTAACCTATCAAATGAGCAAATTGTTTGGACAGGCTAAATGTGGCGTATAATACCTGAAATATTGGTTCAAAATTTAAGACAAGACAAGACAGGGACTCTTAAATCTTAACATACAAGGTTGATAATAGCACACAAAGAATATTGAATAACAAAAAGAATTATAAAAATTGTCTGCCTATTAAATCTTTAACATACAAGGGTGATTGGCTTGACAATAATTGCTTCTGACTTTGCAATATCATACCCCACCTTTTCATTAAGAATTTTCCAAATAAAACAAGAACAAATAGGGAAAAAATATGTAAGAATATCAATTCTAGGAAAATTATAGTCTGAAAAATATAAGTCACTTTAAGTTTGACATTCAAATATAATGTAAATTTGGAAGGTGATATCAAATATAAATTTAGGCTATCAATCCTAGGAAGATTAAAAGGAAGAAATGCAGAAGAGAGACTAAGAAGAGTTGTATCAGTGAACCCAATCTTTTCATTGACACCGTGTGGGCCTTGGAAGGAGAATATGAGAAAAAGAAAAAAAAGAAAAAATATGGTGTTAGTTTTAGTTTAAGAGAACCTCATCAACTATATCTACTATATATGTATATCTCTTGTAAATTGCCATTTTTATCTAATTGTTAAGTATGACAGTTAGATGTGATGAAAATATTGAGTAGCTAAGAAAAAACATATTCGTAAAGATTAAAAAAAAAAAAAAAATGGTTGAAATGAAAATATTGAGATGGATGTATGGAATCAACACATTCTTTAGATGGTTGCAATAGCACCACTTTGTGAAGGAGTACGTGAGAATTAATTAAGATGGTTGGGTAATGTGTAGTTCTGCTCTGTTCTCTGCCATTTCTGGGTAGCATTGAGAAAATACCATGAAAAACTTGAAAATGTGTCAATTTTTAGGTTCTGTTCAGTATTTTTTAAAAAAACAAACAAGAATATTTAAAAATATTTATTAAAAATGGTGCAAAATGGGGTGCCTACACAATTAATGAGGTGGTATTCCATACATTTGAGGGAAAAATAATGAGACAAGCATGGAAGTAGGTATAGTTGCCATTAAAATTTTAGTATATATAATAAACCCATATGATGCCATGTAATTAAAATGTGGGACCTTAATCATTCATTAAGTTTCATACCGTACATTAATCTCATATATGTTGGTTGTGTAAGTATAGCCTGTGTTGTTTAATCAGTGGTGAGTTGAGGTTTATCTATGATATCCTTTTTTTTTTTTTTTCTTGTCTTACCTCAAAGAATTTTTTTTCTTATCACGCAATGCTTAAGCTAATTGATTGGAACTGATTTGGGTTTTGATTTGCTAAGTAGCTTTTAACTTTGTGGATTATTTTTTCTCTTCACTCATGCACGTGATAGCCATATAAGATCGCTTGTATATTAATTGATTATAAGTTAATAGCTTGTATTAAGGAAATATTGAATTGTCATATATCAATGTTCAATCAATTAGACAACAATGCATTTGTTGCATATTTCTAGAAAATTTGCATCCGTTTCTTCTTTGCTCAGTTCTCTCACCACCAATCCTCGAACTCTAGACCACACAAACCAACTTCTATGCCAAAGAGTCCATGAGTGAATCAGTAATTTGCATCTGTATCATTCTGGATTTCTTCGATTGATATATATTCATGAATTTATTGCCTCAAACTTGAATCCTCTTGTGTTGCATCGATTAATGTAGCAAAAGTTTACTAAAAATACCCTTGAATTTACTTTTTTTTTTTTAACACAAGATTTTATTGCCAATATATAGGGTAGATATATGATAATTTTCAACAACAGGAAGCTATAATACTTATTATTCCCTCTTCTTCTATAAAGAATAAATGCTTTATAATAACTCCAACACAGATTATAATATCTCTAATTCTTGCATTATTGACCTGCCTAGCAGTTAATTTTGCACAAAATACACATTAGCAATAAATTTGGTAGCCAAAATTTCTTATACACACTATACAATCTCGTTGTTCAACTTTTCATTTGTCTATATGTTATCAAATTGAATACATTATACTAAGTTTTGTGTGTGTGTGTAAATTGCTTGATATAATAAGAAAAACAAAGTCACTTAATTCCAAAGGAATATCTTGTTGTCACCCGGATATCAAGTTTTCTAAAATACTCTTTAAAAAATTTATTTCAGTCTTAAAATTCTAATCTCAATTTTTTTTCTTCTTCTTATTTATTTTATTTTATTTTGCAGGTTTCACATTGATTGCAATCTGGCTCCCCTTTTGGATTCGGATCTTAGATTTTTTATTTTATTTTAAATTTTGATATGTGAATGTCACTACAACAAATTTAGGTTTTTGCCATCAGACACTTCGTGGCAAAAACTTTCAAATTTCGTGGCGAAACCTTTTTAGCCACAAGAAATAGACCGTGGCTCGGTCGTGGGTGTAGCCCCGTCACAGAATGCCAATAACCACGACTAAAAATCTTTGTGACAAAATGTGGACCTTTTGCCACAAATTTGAACCCATGGTAAAATATCTTCTATTGCCACAAACTATTTCGTCGCTAAATAACAATATTTTCGTGGCAAGTAGCAATCCCGATATAGGATTTAGTCATGGCTAATTCCGTCCTTTTGCAACGAAAATATTTATCGTGGTAGAATAGGTCTTTTCCTACGGAATTTATTCGTGGCTATAAATTTAATTATCTACGAATATATGTCGTGACAAATATCCAAATAAGTCACAGAGTTTATTCGTGGTTATAATTTTAATTGCTCACGAATACATATCATGGCAACTATTCAAAATAGGCCACGGAGTTTATCCGTGGCCATTCTATTATTAATAAAATAAAATATAATTTAATAGTCAAAAATATATATTGTGACAAATACCAAAAATAGGCTACAAATTTATTGTGGCACGATAAGAATTTGTGGCAAACTTATAAATTATTAACATTATAAACAAAAGAAATATTATAGGAAAAAAAAAAATTTATCACATTAACACGATTATGCAAACAAATAAATATTTAACATTGTGTAAGTTACACCAACCAAAAAATGTATTGTTTATAACAAACATAATAAAGCCCATCGCGTAAAAAAATGAGTCCTAGCATCTAAAACCATTTCAACTCAAATAATTTGGATCAAAACAAGTTAGTATATTAAATAAAATGTTTCAAAATCTTAGACAAAAAGGAGCTATAGATTCTTAAACAAAGGGTTCAAAGATTTGGACATACATTACTTAAACTATCTTAAACAAAAAGAGCTTGAAGTCTTGTAGCATGGGCCCATTCAAAAATTTACAAAACAGACAATGAATAAATACAATTAGTGTCTATTCCAAAAAAAAAAAAAAAAAATGAATGTACGAAAAAGTTATGTTGCTACAAAATTGTTTTAGGATTGTGAATACTTTTTTAAAAGAGAAATGAAAAAAAGTTGGTAGAATTTTAGAGAACCAAATTAATAAAATCAAATACTTAAGTAGATGCTAATTCTTCCTATATTTCTTTATTTTTCTGTCTTGATATTTCCATGGAGGTTTTTGCCTACTAAGATAAACTAATGACCTTGTATTGCTGCATCTCACAAAACTTCTCCTACTTTTCTTCTCCCACCTCACCCTTAAAGAAACAAGAATAAAAAGAGATAGACAATGGCACATATATCAACTCACCTTACAAGTAAGTTCTCCTTGAAAGCTTAAGCCTCCAGCAACCAAAAAGTTTCCACTCACTGCTAGCGTGCTGATCTACCTTTGTGTAAAGTCTTCTAACAAGCTTCCCACATGTCTCTAGATGACAAATTATTAGAAATAATTAGCCGAACAGAACATTAACGCAAAAATAAAAAAATAAAAAATGAAGGAAGTAGAAAAAAATTGGGGGAACATAAATAAGACTTCTTTTCACAAGAAACAAACATAAAGACGGGGTAAAGTTATTCTCAAAGCCTCAAACTGAACAAGAAATATGACCCATTTTTTGGACAACTGCAAATAATTTATACTTTATATAGGAGTTGAAATTAATTAAGGCAAAAAAAAAGGCTATTAAACACATGAAAAAGGACACTCTTCTAAGAAAGAAGTGTCTATATCAAACACATGAAAAGAAGAAAAAAAACTATTAAGCTTTTGAAACTTAAAGAGGACAATGGAGAAATTAAGACAAAATCATTAACAAAGAAGAAATGCACATGCTTGAAACCCCTCCTCCAAAGTTCTTCACCCAACCTAGCATGCCTCGTAATTAACCCTCACAAAAGCTGAACAACATGAGAAAACCCATTAAACCTCCCAATTCAATTCGTTTATGCAAATCAAAACAATTTTCTTCTCATAATCAACACTCAAAACCTGCAATTAATTTCAACCCAAGAAAGTAGACAATTAAATTAATAAATAAATTATTAACAAATTAATATAATTAATTAATCAGTTGGGATTAAATTCAAAGTGTGTGTATATATATATACACCTTGTTGTGACCCTGGATTTTTCAACCCAGTGTCCTGTGATAAACCGAAGATTGACTCGATAACGGATTCAGATACGGAAGTAAAAGAAATAAGACAATGGTCTCTCAAGGCATAACACACCTCAAAGACCCTAAGATGATCTTTCATGAGGTCACGGAACCCAAAGGAATAACCGAATGCGAAAGCTAGAATGAAAAGGTCACTTGGTACCCTATGACACCAATGACAACCAAATAAGCAAGATCTAGTTCAAATTAGATCATGAAGCCATTAAATGGCTCAAGCAAGATCAACAATGTCAAGTGGAAGTAAATCAATTGGTACAAGCATAAATAAAACAACAACCAAACAAAATCAACAAGGCATCTCCATTTCGGTCAACCGAAATGGAGCATCGGTCTGCCGAAATAAGCCTGGAAAAAGAAGATAAAAGAGCTCTCGGTTCGGTCTATCGAAGTGACAAACCGACCGACCGGTTTAAGGCTCGAGATAAAAAAATGAGTTTCGGTCGACCGATGTAGAGAACCGGTCAATCGAAATAAGCCTCGATGGTGAAAATGGCTACTGGAGTTGGGATTTTTGCTGAACAATGAAATCCAAGAGGGTTTGGTTGACCGAAACAGGGCACCAGTCAACCGAAACTGGTCAAAAATGTGAAAAATGAACCTGCTATGCATCAAGGCTGAAATGAGTTCCTAAGTCTTATTTGAATTCCCCATGGCATGATTAATTTACATTATATGTTAATGTGTGATAATGTGAACATACACGCAAGTGTAATATGACATTTTAAACACGCTACAATGGCCTACGGCTTCATTACATTTCATTTACAAGATTTTACATACCAAACTTCCAAGTTGATAAAAATTACATTTTTAAACAAAACCTGGCACCAAATGACTATAAGTGCTAATATAAATATGCTTGGCCCTTGACCTCATGTCATACATATCAAATACAATGCAAAAGGTGTATTTATGTGCACATTACATATTTAGAACAAAATTACAAGTTTTGTCATATAAAGCTACAAATAGGATTTCACGCCAACATTTTTAGGAAAATGATACTTCAAGTCTACGAACTTCCATGGCATAGTGTGCATCCCAAATTAATGTCCTTGTACCTGAAAAATGTCTCCACTACGTGGGTGAGTAACATAAAGTTACTTGTAGGAGATGAACATGCATCGACCTAGCATTTTACAATTTTATCACGTTAAGGTGAAATATGTTAAAGGGGCTCATACCACCTAACATCTATGTCAAAATGAGACTCAAGGAGCATCCTAAGCTACTCATGCAATTGAATTGGACAACGGCATACAATTATACATGTTCAAATACACTAAACCGTAATAAAACATGATACATGACATACAAACATACATGTTCAAATACCCTGAATCATGTTAAACAAGATAAGCAATATCTAACATACATACACAAGTATCCAATATAAATATAGCGTACTTATGAATCAAGTATACAAGCACAAGTATACTCAACTAAATGAAGTACGCATTAGACAAGCATACACAACACAAGTATACATAATGAAGTCCGATTGCACAAATCAAACATGCAATGCTTAAGTATACTAATTAAGGTTTAGATACACAACCAAGGATACAAGTTCAAGTATACTAAATGAGATCTAAATATACAAAACAAGTATACAGTTTCAAGTATACTAATTAAGATCTAAATATAAAAAGCAAGTATACAGTTTTAAGTATACAAAATAGGATTTAAATACCCAAAGTAAGCATCAATTCTCAAGCTACAAGTAATCCATGATTAACAATTTGAAATTAAATGCAAAATCAAATAGTGGAAAGACTAGTATCCTTGGCTGCAGACCAATCGAGTTATTCAGGGTTACTAGCCCGGAAGGTACTACCTAGTGCGCACGTGTATAAGTTATTCCGGATAATTACGACCCACAAGGTACTACCTACTGCGCACTTCATATGACTTAGAAAACTCACGAATCCGTACTATGGTCAGACCCTAGCCATCACATGAATATGATCCTTACAAGCTTCCAAAAACATTAAGTTTAAAACTTATGCAAAATCTATAATGACCCGGTCTTTTTACTCCTTTTCCATTTTCGGCGATTTTCTTTTTTCGTGTTTTTCCTATTTTGTCTTTTCCTTATTTCGTCTTTTAGTCATTTTTCATTTTTCCGTGTATAACCTCACTTGTTGTGCTCGGATTTGATCCCGATTTTGCATGCATTCATAATATTTGATTTCCATGACATTGGTATTTTTATTTTTCTTGAAAAGCATGCTATATTAGTACTTTTCTTGTAAAGGGCATGAATGCATACTTTAGTGTAATTATTTATAACTTTTGTGGTTTTAGTGTAACTATGTAAAATAATTATTTTTCGTTTTAGGGACCTTTTTGTAATTTATTTTGGAGGATATTTTGAAAAAGGACCATTTTGCAATTTTTAAAAATTGTGACAAGTGTCACACTCTCATGGAGCCATTTGTTGGCATTTAGGTGAAGAGACTTGGCACCATGACTTCTTGACATTTGGTGGGTGGAGATTCATCCATGTGTTGGCCTTAGACTGGTGTACATGTAACCATTGATTATTGACAAGTGTAGGCTTAAGATTAAGCCTAAGGATAGAGCCTTTGATTTGTGACAAGTGTAGGATCAAGATTTAGTCTTGCAAGTGTGTGTGAGAGAGGTAATGTAAGAGCACATAGTGAGTGGAGGATTTCTAGCCCTTCCACTCACCATTTTTCACTTATCCTCTTCATTTTCCTTAGTTATTCAAAGTTCTAATCTAGCCACCATTGGAGAAAAGCTTGGTTAATAGCTTTCTTCTTCAATTTTGGTGCCCTTCCATTTATCTTAGACTAAGAACCTTAACTAGTAAAAGTTTCCTCTCATTCTCCTCTTCATTAACCCTAAGCTTGTTTTCCATTTAGTGCTTGGTTGCTTGAATTATAGAGATTCAATTCTCTATTGAGGTAGGGGTGGTAGTATGTTTATATTTTAAGTATTTTATAATCCTTTGGGGTTTAATATATATTGTGTACATGCTTCTAATATGATAGTCTTGCATATTATAGGAAATCCTTCTGATTAACTTATGGTTTATTTGATCTAAACATGTATATTGTGTATGTATCTTGTGTAGGATTATTGATGTTGTATATAGCTCTTATTGATTTGAATTACTATACTATTGTGATGATAATTCTACATTCAAGTTGATTACTATTGGTGATTCTAATTATTTTAGAAGCTTAATACAATAAATGTTGTAATCTAGTATATAAAGCTTATTGTTGAGACATGGTTTAAATTGATGAGTATGTGGTATTATATTGCACATTATATCATGTTAAGAACTTGTCATTTATTATGCCATTCTAGATTTGGAATCCTAAGACATGGTTTGCGTGGTTTCAAAGATACTTGTGCATGGAAGGTGGTTTATATGCCTTAAATTATGATATATAAGTTTTGAACTTGATATATTTTGGATTCTCTTGGGATATTGTGTTACAAGTGACATGGCTAAAGTTTGGCTTTAGTGCGGAAGGTATGAGTTCTCCCTAATTGAGATAGTGCGCACTAGGGTGGTCTTCCCAGCGGGTTAATGCCCAGAATAACCATATTGATCTTGGTTTAGTCCAAGACGAGATGTCCAAGTTTTCC